TATACCTCAGATCTATTTTACCTCTTCTGAAGTACAATCTTTGGAAATTCCTTGAGTGAAACTCTATTGATGGTAAATTATTTCAGTTTTTATTTTGTTGAAATTTTTTTTTATTTCACCTCATTTCTGAACAGTGGTTTTTTGTATATACAATTTTAAGGTTATTTTCTCTCAGAACTTTGAAGATATCATTGACTGGATTCTGGGTTTTATCATTACTGTTGACAGCCAACTGTCATTCTCATTGTCATTGCTTTGTATGTAATTTGGGGGAATTTTCCCTCTCTACCTATTTGTAAGATGTTCTTTTTTTCTGGAGTATTCTGCAGTTTTACCTTAATGTGTCTAGGGATTTCTTTTTTTAATTTTTGTGTTTGGAAAGGAATAAATATAGACCATCATCTCTGTAAGGCCAGGGTTCTTGTTTGTCCTATTTGCATCTTTACTCCTAGCCTTAGCAGAAGGCTAAGTAAAAATGCAATAAATATTTGATGTGTAATGAATAAATTTGTAAATCTAATTAGTTTTCTTATGAATAATAAGAAGGAAACTCCTATCTTATCTCAGCATACCTAATAAACATATCTTATCTCACATGTCTCCAGTAGTTAATAGAAGATAACAAGGAAAATGAATATTTTGGTCAGTCATATTCTTTTTTTTTTTTTTTTTTTTTTTAGGGTAAGATTACCTATTTTCCCTCTATAAATCTAAGGAGAACTTAACTTGACTTTACATTTAAATAAGCTTCCAAGTGAAAGTTTGGAGTCCCAGGAGGTTGATGTTAAAGAAAAGTAGGACCTAGAAAACTCCGAATAAGTAATCATTAATGACAAATGAGTGTAATCCGCTTAGTTTCAGTCAAACTCAGTTTTTAGAGCATGACTTCAAGGAAACACCGAATATATTCCAAGCCTTGTGTTTTTCAAGTAGTAGACTGATGTGACTGATAGGGATATAAATTTCACAGTGGTTGTCATGTTTACTTTCTTTCCTCTTTCACCCTTCCTTTATTCATGTCACGCCAGTGTGCGCGTGTGGATGTGTACATGCGCACACGTGTACAATCATAGCCCATCATATGAAATGCTGTGTATTGTTCCTTGGCTTCTGTAAGTTTGCATCTTTGCTTAAAGGCTTGTTATAGATGACAACTATGAGTTCTTTTTTTGACAGTTTAGCCAAATGCAAAGGGTATGACCTTTTAGTATAAAATCCTGTTTCTGCCATAATACCTTTATAACTTTGGCGTGTTATTTAAACTTTGGGAGCTTTAGTTTTGTCATCTGAAATAGAGAATAATAGAGGCGCCTGGGTGGCTCAGTCGGTTGGGCGTCCGACTTCGGTTCAGGTCATGATCTCATGGCTAGTGAGTTCGAGCCCCACATTGGACTCTGTGCCGACAGCTCAGAGCCTGGAGCCTGCTTCTGATTCTGTGTCTCTGTCTCTATCTCTCTGTCCCTTCTCCGCTCGCACTGTGTCTCTCTCTCTCTCTCTCTCTCTTAATAAACGTTAGAATTAGAGAATAATAATAGCTACTTCATGGCTTAGAGTGAGGATATATAAAGTATAGAGGTATATATAAAGTGCCTAGCACATTACTTGGTACATGGTATATGCTTACTCAGTATTAGTTTCCCTTTCTTCCAGCAAGACTCCTGTGTACCTCCAGGACCTGAGAAGGTGGCAAAAGCATAAGCCCGAGAGATTGCTCTGATGTTGCAGAGCTCTGAAATGACAAATGACTCAAGTGCCTATCTAAGTTGAGCAAATACAGGGATTATAGTTATTGTTTCTACAAGGAGAGCAAGAGGTAATGACTAACAATTCTGGGAAGTTCTTATTTGTATTAGGTGTTGGCAACTCTAGGCATATATGGTAAAGATGATGTGGAGGACCATTTCCTGGAGCCTGTAGACTGGTTGTGTCCCGTTTTACCTGTCACATGTGAAACTGCTGTTCGCACGCCACCCGTCTCAACCCATATCCCAGGAACAATAAACACACACACACACACACACACACACACACACACACACAGAAGTGAGATTTTGGTATGCCGCTACTGGGTGGTTTTCAGTTGCTGACCTATCTATTATTTCCCTTGTTCTTTCTTTTTTGCGTAAACCCTGTCCTGTTGAAGAGGTTGTCAAATTTTTAAAAAATACAATTCCAGAGAGTAAATAGTGTAGACTTTAAAGGCCACGTGGTCTCTGCTAAAACTACTCAACTATGCACTTACAGTAGAAAAGCAGCCAGAGACAGTATAGAAACAAATGAGCATGGCTGTATTCCAATAACACTTTACTTATGGGCACTGAATTTTGAATATAATTCATTTAATTTTGTGTGTCATGAAATATTTTTCTTCTGATTTTTTTTTGAACCATTAACAAGTGTAAAAAAAACATTCCTAGCTCGTAGTCCATACAAAACAGGTAGTGGGGTGAATTTTGCCCACACACCGTATTCGCCAACCTCTGCCCGTATTGGTCTTCTGAAGTTTCTGTAGTTATTTTCTCACAACCTGTGCAGGTCATTTCCTGAGTTGAATTTTTTTTAATGTTTATTTATTTATTTTGAGGGACAGAGAGAGCACGAGTGCAAGTGAGGCACAGAGAGAGGGAAAGAATCCCAAGCAGGCTCCACACTGTCAGCGCAGAGCCTGATGCAGGGCTCGAACCCGTGAGCCCTGGGATCATGACCTGAGTCAAAATCAAGAGTGGGATGCTTAACCAACTGAAGCCACCCAGGTGCCCCGAATTCCTGAGCTGAATATGCAAACAAATATATTTCAATGTTTAGTTATTGTTTTACTTTTCTTTTGCCATCATAACAAATGTGGCAGCTTAAAACAGCGCAAATATATTATCTCCCAGTTCTGTGGCTCAGAAATCTGGCTTGGCTTGGTCTCTTTCTGTACTCAAGGTTTGCAAGGCGTTGCTGGCTAAGCTCCCATTGGAAGGCTTTGGAAAGATTTCACTTCCAAGCTCAATTTGGTAAGCAGAATCTGGTCCTTGCATGTAGACATTTATATCTCAGAGCCTTCTTAAAAATCTTTCTCACATGTGGAATCTGACTTCCCATTCTGTAGCATTGCAGATCTGACTTCTGCCTCCTCTTCCTGTTTTTAAGGGCTCTGTGATTACTTTGGGTCTGCCTAGATAACCTAGAACAATCTCCCTATTTTAAAGTCAGCTGCTTAGTAACTTCAGTTCCATTAGCAAAGTTCAGTCATAGCAGTACCTAGGTTAGTGTTTGATTGAAAAACTAAGGGACAGGAACCTTGAAGAGACATCTTTAGAAATAAGAATAGCACACTTAGCACCTATATTTCCAACATTAGTAATTTACGTAAGGCTGTGGAGTTCTTGAGATGTATCCAGAAATAATTTAACCCATTCAAGCATTTGGTTTTGGTAAATTAGATCTTCTTAGATTTGATATATTCCATTAATATATCATATGTAGTTTCTAACTAATCCAGTAGCCCTTGCTTTGCAACAGGTGATCTAGCCACTTGGGAATAAATCTGAGATTTACATGCTATATATAGTCTTTCCTTTCAATGAATAATTTGCTCCCAACGATAACGTTTTCACTTCTTTTCCCCAGTAGTGGAACTGTGTTTCGTATATAATTTAATTTTGTCTTTTCTATTTAGAAGTAGCATTTCAGTGTAGTTGCTGTGGGGAACATATTGACATATTTTGGGGGTCATTTTTAGATAATTTAGGATCCAATTATTAATTTCTAAGTCCAGTATATTACTGAATCACATCTATATGCTTCTTGGGGCTAGAAATCTCAAGAGGACTCTCAGCTGCTTTTCTCCAGCCATCATGTCTGACTTGTCACCAGTCTTGCTGATTGTCATTCTCATTGGCCCAAGAATCTATACCTTTCTTTTCACCCTTTTCACCTTATATCTTTCTTATCATCACTGATATGCATCTTCGTCATTTCCTATTCTATCTATTGCAGTAACTTCCTCATCGGCCTGCCTCTGGTTTCTCCTTTGTGCAGATAATGCTCCAGAGATTATATGAGACAACCTGAACTTTAGAAAAACTAAGAGTTCATTCCAACTCCTTACCATGACATTCCAAGATTTTCATTGTATGACCCACTCCTACCTTTCAACCTTTTTTCCAGTACAGTCCTCTGTAGAAGTGTTCAGACAGTAGTAGTGGAACACTACTTTGCCAACACATCTATAATCCATATTCAGAGAATGGTAAATACCCTTTGTAACTGGAGTGAAGGGTTTGTGTTATCATTGTAGGTGGGGCTTTAAAAAAATGGGTTTGATTGTTCAAAGATTCTTCTTTTCCACCTTCAGCAGTTGGTTGTAAAATTCAGGCAGACCCTTCTACCTCCTACATTTTTATTTTATTTCTTCATTTCTGTTAGTCTTGCCATTGCCCCAGCATGAGTCTTGTCATCTTTCCCGGACTATTGCCATGGCCAACCTGTCTTGTCCCGTTTGCTCTTTACTCTAAGCCAATCATCAGAATATATCAAGGTATCATTCTAAAACACAGTCTAATTGTGGCCCTTTCGTAATTCAAAACCTTCACTCATTCCCCGTTGTTTCCAATGAAGATTATTTGCCCTCTAATGCGGTGGTTAAGAACTTGAGCCCTAGACCAGACTGCTTGGAATGGGATCCTGAGTCTTTTACTTATTAGCTATGTGATATGAGACATGTCATTTTATTGCTCTAAGTGTCAATTTACTCATCTACAAAATGAGGATGATAATATTTACACAGAGTTATGTGAATAAAAATATATGAAGTATGAAGATCAATTAGAAAGTACCTGGTATATAGTATACGTTCAACTAATAGTTGCCATTATAATCACCATAAAATACTCTAGAAATTGAGATAGATTCTATAAAGGACTGGCTATTTTTTACTCAATTAGGGATTTTTGAGAGTTAATTATTTGGCCAGATAACTGAATTTCAATGCTCTCTCTTTTTCTCTTGAGTAGGCAGCTAAGGATTGTAACCGGTGAATGGTTTTTTGAAGAAAAGGCAAAGCGTTTCAAGCAAGTCAATCTTCTGGGCACTGATATAGTCCGACAGTCCATCTTAAGAAGAAGCCCAGGTAACTAAAGCAATTATTTGGTTTCAAAACTGCCTTAATTTTTACTTTTGTGAGCTAAATAATTCCCCTGTATATGTTGCAAATAAACATAGTTGAATTTCCTGAATCCCTTAGGTCATTTCAAAACTCAGCATGAAATCTCAGTCTGTAATTCATACAAGGGAAGAGGACATCAACAGAACATAAAATCCACAGTGATTTTCCATATAGCTGACATGCTGAGATATTCAAAGGAAGTATTTACTTTCATCACACATAGTTCTTTTCCTGAATGCACTTCCAATATTTTACTAAACATTTAAGACAGTAACATAAAACAGATAAATTAAATGATTCACATTATGAAAGCACTCCTTGATTTTTCAACGTGCTATATTTACATAAAATTGCTTTTAAATGTTCCTTTTATGAATCCAATGGTTCTCAACCAAGGGGTGATATCGTGTACCAGGCCCTCCTCCCTCAAGCCAGGGGAGCATTTAGAAATACAATGGGGGCATTACTGGTTGTGGCAGTGACAGAGGTGGGATTAATAGCATGTAGTGGGTGGTTAATAGTATTTAGCCAGAGATGCTAAATGGCCTGAAATGCTCAGGACCCTTTCACTCAATGAAGCATTATACTGTCACCAAATGTAAATGACACTCCACCTTGAGAATGCGATTCTGTGCGCTCAAACTACAATTTAACTGGTTAAATATTGAGTGAAACTTGTGTGTAGGAGCATATTTCTCATGTGTGGCCTAGTAAAGGTGGAGCAGGCATCTTCTGGCTTGGTCCTAGGGTGTCTCATGTTTCATATACAGAGACAAATCCCCTCATTTTGAAGTCTGGCAGGTAAAGCTGGGAGGCCAGGAACTGATTCCAGCGTCACTTCTGGATGTGGCACTAGCAAGGAAGGGAAGGGCTTCCCCAGATGGGTAAGATCAGGTCTGATGCCACCGGAGGACAGAATGGAGTAGAGTTAGAATTAAGCCGCTAGCTCTGGCTGTTTTCCCACTCATATCTCAGCACCTTTCAGAGTGTAGACTCTCTCTCAAGTCATGAGGTATACGCAGGAAATCTGATTTATGTGCTCAGAAATCAGGGTATTGTTTCTACAGTCCCGTCTCTAGGGATTTGGAGTTCTCATGAACCCAGGCTCCTCTGCCCTAAAAATATCTGTAGAGGGATGATGTAGCATTCCTCCATTGTGGACATCCCTAGAAAGCTTATCTCAGCAAACCTCCCACAGATGAGTCCTCAACTTAGTCTTCATTTAACTCTGGAACACTCAGCAGATTAGAAATAACTGTGTGACTAGGAAACAGGATGGGAATGTCATTGCCAATTATTGTGGACTTCTTTGTCCTCTGCTAACGTAGGAAAGTGAATGAAGAATAGAAAATTGCTCTCGTTTCTGGCCATTTTGTATGTAAATTTATCTTCTGATTGTTTTTAATGAGGAACTGAAGAAATACAAAGTCAAGAGCAACCCCACCAGGATGCAGAAAAGGCAGACACTTCACCTTCTGCCAGGCAAAAGGCCAGTCATGATGGACCCAGGAAAAAGGGGTAAGACACACTTTTTCCAAGGGCATATTTGAATTCATTCCAGAAACTTCTGAAATAAAGACCCCTTAGTTTTTCTTTTTTTTTCCTTTTCTTTTTTTTTAAATATATGAAATTTATTGTCAAATTGGTTTCCATACAACACCCAGTACTCATCCCAAAAGGTGCCCTCCTCAATACCCATCACCCACCCTCCCCTTCCTCCCACCCCCCATCAACCCTCAGTTTGTTCTCAGTTTTTAAGAGTCTCTTATGCTTTGGCTCTCTAACCTCTTTTTTTTTTTTTTCCTTCCCCTCCCCCATGGGTTTCTGTTAAGTTTCTCAGGATCCACATAAGAGTGAAAACATGTGGTATCTGTCTTTCTCTGTATGGCTTATTTCACTTAGCATAACACTCTCCAGTTCCATCCACATTGCTACAAAGGGCCATATTTCATTCTTTCTCATTGCCACGTAGTACTCTATTGTGTATATAAACCACAATTTCTTTATCCATTCATCAGTTGATGGACATTTAGGCTCTTTCCATAATTTGGCTATTGTTGAGAGTGCTGCTATCAACATTGGGGTACAAGTGCCCCTATGCATCAGTACTCCTGTATCCCTTGGGTAAATTCCTAGCAGTGCTACTGCTGAGACCCCTTAGTTTTTCAAGTTCGATATCACTTCAGTGACCCAGAGAAGGTCAACATACCTGACCAAGTCAATATTATCCTATCATTCCCCCTAGAACATGAAGTTTTACATACTTTCAGTCTTAAATAAATAAAGGTCACCTTGGACCTGAACATATAAATAAAACTTTTTATTTCATTTGACATATCTGGTCTTGCACTAAATGGTTCTCATTACTTCTAGGTAGAAGGTTTCATGTCAGGGCCAGCCTTGTCTATAAAGAAGTGACAACTGCCTTTGTTGTAGAATGCCAACACTCTCCCCCAACCTGAGTGCTGATACATGAAATATCCAAATCAAAGATTTATTAATTGGGCTTAAAACATAATGTCCCCTCTTTCAAATGGGGGCTTCCTTAAGGAAGAAGTCACATTTGGCTACCTCAGTAACTTAATTCAGAAAATCTATGTCTCAAGTACTAAGAATAAGAATGGGAGGCACATAGGGAAGCAAGAGTCAAGGAGGCACTAGGAAACTGGAGGCAACACGGCTTCTTCAGGGGAGAAAAGAGACCCCTAAAATGCAGGCTAAAAGGACCAAAAGGCAAACTTCTGCTTCCTGGCTCTTCATTTGTTAGTCTTCATTTCTCAGGCAACTGTTGATCTGTTTTGTGGCTTAGTGAGGGTTCTAATGTCCACCAGGTCACTTTATGTTCTTTCTAAGTAGCATTGCTTTGTTCTCTCAGCCGAAAGCAGTGAGCGAGACTGCCAGTATCTGAGCCTTGATCTGGCTCTAGAGAACGTCTGTTTTTGTTTTGGTTTGGTTTTTTAGAATCTTGAACTGTGAGTAGGAGTGAAAGCTAAATGTCCTGTAACGTAAACACCCATGACTAACCATGTCTTCATCAATTAGCAGAGATAAATGTGAAAGATAGCCTAGAGTCACCATACATCCTACGTATTGGTCCTTTCTGTTGTACTGAATCCATTGGCCACCCATTAGAGCTCCCACAGTGCCATGTGCCTGAGTATCACTCTTACATTTGCAGTCTGACACCACCTTCTCCCAAACACACACACACACACACTTAATTGTGAGCTCCCTTAGTGGTGGACCTGTTGGTTTTTTTTTTTTTTTTTTTTTTTTTTTGCTTTTGTGCTTGATTGAACATGTAACTCAGAGCCCACAAGTGCTTGTAGGAGCTGTCGTTTGCAGACCCCAGCCCGGGCTTCACTCAGTACGTTACAGAATGATGTACTTGGAGCTGGGAGACAATAAGTAACTTACCAGCACAATGAATTGGGTGCGCTCTGAATTAAAAACAGCCATAGCACTGGCCTAAGCCCTGCTGGAACTCAAAACTGAGATCTGATGGTTCTGTTTTCAGGGAATTTAACAGTTAGTTGGGTAGAAAAGGTACATACCCGAAAAGTTAATATGTATAGAAGAATTTTAGGAAAATGTAAGATGACAATATGAGCTGCCTGAAAGCCTTTCTAAAATAAGACAAGGTGTTAATTAACTATAAGAGATATCATAAGGATAAGTAATTAAGTAAATATTAAATAAGGGGCTTAGATAATAAAGAAGTGAATATTAAACAAGGGGCTTAGATAATGTTGGGAGGTCACAGAGGACAATGGGAAAGACCTAAAATTGTAAGTGTGACCAGATGAGGACCTTGAAAGACAAGAGTTCAGGATAGCAAAAGGTGGGGAAGAGTGATTCCACATGGAAGAAACACCTTAAGTAGAAGTATGGATATGGGGACATGAACAAGGTGGTTCTCAGAGCAGCATAGATTGACATTATATTGAGCACTATTCTCACCAAAAAAAAAAAAAATGTAATTTTCCAGTTAGATTGAAGCTTCCGACACTTTGACAAGACACTCTTTATATATCTTTGAAACAGAGACATCTTGGCAGATTCTATTAAGATTGTCCCAATACCTTTGGAATACATTTTCTCCCTAGAAAACTGGAATATAAAGTAAATGAACCGATTTTTCCAAATGCTGTCACAAAAAGAATATAACTTTGGTTGTTTATTAAAGTATATTTGGAAACCCCCATGTTTTGGGCCTTCACTGGCCTGGATCATGACTCAAATCTCAGTTCCTGAAAAGCTATTTTTGTTCAAGTTCTAAATAATTTAGTCAAATGGGAATACAGTCAGGTTTCATCCCACATGAGACACCCCAATGTTCAAACTTCATTCCCGCAGGGAGAAATGTCCTGAAAGATATAAAGATGGTTTCCACCACATGGGTTTAGTCCTTCATTCCACAAGAATTGATTGGGTTCCACTATGTGCCAGGCATCACTTTAGGCTCAGGGGACCTGACAGGAAACCAGCAGGGCAGGGTTGCTTTTCTCATGGAGCTGTAGTCTAATAAATGACCACCTCAGTTTGTCCCAGAGGATCCATCATTCTAGCACCCCTCTCTGAGCAAGATGAGTTCAAGCTCCATAGTCTTTTTTTTTTTTTTTAAGAGAGAGTGTCATGGTGTGAGTGGGGGAGGGGCGGAGAGAGAGAGAGACACACACACAGAAACTGAAGCAGGCTCAAGGCTCTGAGCTATCAGCACAGAGCCTGGTGCAGGGGCTTGAACCCACGAACTGCAAGATCATGACTTGCAAGCTCCCTAGTCTTAACATCCCTGCATACAGGCTCAACCCAGGCAATGTTTCCCTATTCCCAGGTAAGTTCCAAAGTTGATGGTCTTTTTCCTAGCAGGGACAGAGGCCTGGCTTACTGACAAGTGGTATGGCCTTGGGAGAATGTCATAACCTCCTCTACCACTACCCTTGATGTCATACTACCGAGGCACTGGGAATTTCCCAGAACCTCTCAGCCCCAAGGCCACTTTATTGAAGAATTATTTACTGTTGAAAATATTAGAAATGGTATTCTTGAAATGATCTTTTAAAATGCTTTTTTTCTCTGATGTTACTTCTAAGTACATATATATTTATATAATTTCAGATTTCTTCTTAGCAAGTTCAGATCAGCAACCAGGGGAGAAATCATAACTCCAAAAACTGAAAGTGGGCGGAGCTACAGCTTGGACTTAGACGGCCAAAACTTTCGGAGTTTAAAGTCCATCCCTGGTTCAGACAGGTAAAGCACATACAGATTGCACAATGGTATAGCCTGAGAGTAAGGTTGACTTATTTCCATCCAAACGGTGCTTCTAGGTACCTGTAAAGTATTTCTTCTTGGAGAACTTGTAACATAACATGAAAAGCCAGGAGGGTATTTTTCAGTTGAAATGGGAAGCACTTAGCCTTCTGGAATTACAGCTATCAGAATCATCGGTGTGATGTGTAGGGACGGGACTTGATGTTTGGGGATATACAGGGAAAATACATTCTTTTCAGTGATTTCTTGATCTTTCTCTGTTGAAGCTTCTGAAAAGAAACATGTGAGCATTAGATATAGTCCTTGCAGCTTTTTAGAAGTTATTAATAATTTCATCACTTGAACTGCTCCAGAGAATTTCCATAAATTCCACCTCTTTCTAATTCCACCTCATCCAACTTGTTATCAGTGGGGCCAAGTGAGAATCTCCTATGCCCAGGGTTATCACCTTGTCAAGAAAAGCAAAAAGAAAGGATAGCCAAGAGCATAGTCCTTTCACATCAGGCTTGATTTTCTTTATCCTGTTGGGGTATAAGTCAAGGCTTATTTTCATGATTAGTGTACTATCAAAGGCAGTGATGAGAAAAAAAGATGTACCCTCATGTTTCACTGGTTTGTCCAAATGTTAATTCCCTTTCATTTTCCTGGAGTTGCAGTAATTCTACAAATCCAGCTAGTGAAGCCTCCTCGGGCTTTGTGAGCAGAATTGCATTCTCCCCTGTAATGTATTTTAGAATATGGAACAGCAAATTCCCCTAGAGAGGACCCTCTTATGACTTTGGTTTTTTCCCATGGTGGCTCTCTATACTGGTTTCTTTTTTCTCTACAGCATTGCTGCAAAGTAGTGCATTTTATGTAAAACAACACACAAAAATGAGGAAGTATAAAATCATTTATCATCCACTCTCAAAAGATCACGATATTCAGTAGTTTTCAAATTTTCAAGAATGTAGATATATTTCCTTTATGATTATAAAAAAATCAAACCATAGTTGCTTTTGTCCTTGAAATAGTCTCCTTGACTTACCTTGGGGCAGCCCCCTGCCATGTTCCACAGAATCTTTGTATAAAAACTTCATTTTTGTTTGCGGTTGTTGAACTTCTGACTCTCAGACAGTGGTCCCCATTATTTAGAGGTAAGAACCAACTAACTTAGTGTTGCTATTTTTGCCCAGCTTCTTGGGGACTCCACAGATGAGCCATTTTGGCATAGACTTCAGGCTAATATTTAAGAGGGGTGATGTATATACACACACACACACACACACACACACACACACACACACACACACACCCCACCTGGATGGACTGGAAGCTAGCTGCAGAGGAGGCCCAGAAACAGGCCGGGCTGCCGCCGCAGAGCACTGACAGCACGGTGGCCAGGGTCCCCCGACCCGGGCCTGCAGAAGCCGTCACATCTTCGGTGGCCACGGGTGCCTCTCCTGGCATCACCCTGACAATGTATTCAAGGCCCGAGAGCCACCTGGACCTTTTCAGGAGTCCAGAGGCGGCCCAGGCCCTTCCAGCTCCGGCCAGCAGATTGTCAGCCAAACGACTGGCCATCCGCTGCAGGGCCGCTCTGGGGATGGCGTCAGCCATGCTGACGGCCTGGCTGGTCATCCACATCCTGACCACCAGACACTAGCCGAGCGGCTCCGAGATGGAAAGGAGGCCAAGAGTGGCCGCGCCCACAGGCCTCTACACCTGTCCCCCTACAACAGCACCCTGGGGACCCAGTGTGGGTGGATGTACACTTTGGACCACACCTAAAAAACAAAACCTTCAGCCGGCACCTCGTGTGTGATGTGACAGTTCTGTTGAACTGGCTTTTTCTTCTCTGCTCTTTAGGAGGACGTCAGCGGACTGGAGAGGGACAATCCTAGGGTTGCTTCACATCGGGAGATTTCAAATCAAAACACAATCAGAAAAACCAGTTACCCAATTAAAAATTACATATTTCCTAAAAAAAAAATGTGTGTGTATATATATATATATATATACACACACACACACACACAGGGAAAATACATATACATAAAATAAAAAATGCACATACAGGGAAAATATATTCTCTCTATATATATATCTATGTATATATATACATATACATATGTATATATACACATATATACATATACATACATGTATGCACATACATATGTATATACATACATACATGTATGTATATACATCTATACATATATGTATATGTACATGCATATATGTATATATATACATATATACATGCACATATATACATATATATACATGTATATATATATATACATATATATATGTCTGAAGAGGAAAGATGGAGTTCCTGTTAGAAACCAAAAAGTCTCCTGACCCAGCAAATAGATTATTCCATTTTAAATTAATTAGTGTTACAGTTATTCAACAAGAATACGATTTTGCTGGTCTTCCAGAATCCATGTGCCTGGGTTTATTTCTTCTGTGTTATCTACTGCTGAGTATAAATAATCATAATATTGTAAAGCCATATGGACATGTTTCACCAAACACTGTTGTATTGACCTAGGGTTTTCTTGTTCTTGTTGTAAACTGAAAGGAGGCAGACTTTATCTTCTAAATCCTAAGTACCTGAAATGGTTTATAGAAGATCAGGATATGGTAGTCGGGGATGCTTTGGCTTAAGCATTCCAGGAACAGTGTTTTCCCAGTAAGAAAGAGAATAAAGCCATTGGGGAGATCAGTAGAGCAAAACGTTCGTTTCCTAGAATGTGCATTTATCATAACGATGACTCATTAATGGACTGCCACAGTGAGATGAGTTATATTATCCCAAAACTATTCCTTGGAAAGTTGGGGCGGGAAGTAGCCCATCTTTTCCTAACTCCCCCACCAAAAAATATTAGCTCCTTTTTGTTTGCTTGAAGCTGCAGTAATTCTGCAAAGCTAAGTAGTAAAACTGGCAGACTTCCATTCCTCCTTAGCTTTTGCAAGCAGAATTGCTTTCTCCCTTGTAACTCATTTTAGAATATGGAACAGCAAATTTCCCTAAAGAGGCTGTAAGGGCCCAGCCAGTCTCTTTGGTCTGTTACCTTCATGGTCCGTTGCTCTTTTCCTGGAGCAGCTGGGCTTGGGAATTCTTGTTTAAAACTCCTATCGTATCAGAATGGAAATGATGTTTTACCAGATGCCTGGTTAACTTTCTTTGCAGTAGTTTGAAAGCAGGGAAAAGTATGAATGGGTAAAGGCAAGGCCCAGCAGCCTCCCAGAGGCGCACAGCACATGGCCCTTCCCTTGCTGCTAGGGACTTGACAGATGAGGCAAAGGAGACTTCTTTTTTTCAAAAGAATATGCATGGAAGCTATGGTTAATAAATCGAATGCTCTTCAGGGCAGCGGGTCCTAAGCCCTTTTACGTTGTGATGAGTTTGGCAATGCGGTATGATTTGTGAGGGATCTGTGTGAAGTCACGCTCATCCAGAAACAAACCCTCAGACAAGGATTCATAAGTAAGTGATTTATTAATGAAGTGATTCCAGGAGAAACCAGTACAGGAGTAAGGGAAGCAGAGTAAATGGGAAGAACCTAAGCAATGTGCTTTCTCAGACGAGGTCTGAATTTGAGAACTCCGCTTGATCCCTGAAGGGATTCTGGAGCTATAAGATGTGTCTCTTGAGTTTTTCCATTTTGAGGAGCTGGACCATCGCACTCCTTTACCAATTCGTCAATGACTCTGAATTCCCTTGGATAGGGTTTCCAGATTTAACAAACAAAGATACAAAGTATGCCCCATGCAATATCATTTTCATTCATATACTCTATAATTATTAGTATATTTTTGTACTAAAAATGATTCGTTGTTTACCTGAAATTCAAATGTAACTGAAAGTTCTGCATTTTGTTTGACACCTCTCCAACGGGGGTCTGGGAAGACCCACTCCAAAGCATGTCTAGGCCCCTTGCTCCAGTGCTAAAGGGCAGATCTCTGAAGGCCATGGGTGCAGGCCATTAGCAGGCAAGCTCTCAGAAGCTGGAGATGAGCGTGCAGAGCCAGCACAAGTGATATAAGGGGATCTGGGTAGGACATGAACAATGTCCCATAAAACACATAAGGGAAAAACGGAACTTTGAACTTAACCTTCACTCGGTTCAGTACAAAATGGACAAAGGAAGATGCTGTGTTTCTCTGTAGCAGGTCTGTCGTCACATTGGAGAATATGGCAATCGTATCAGATTCACCAGTGTTTCATGTGCTTAGACCGTGACCCTATCGGTGGGAGTAATATGAAGTCTGGAGTTGCCAAATACATCTTCAGCTAGAAACTTCTGTTTATACCACACAGTCATCCCTTTCTACTTATCCTTTGCCCATCATACACACCTACCCTGATTTGGGTCCCCTCAGAGCAAACCCCGAAATAAGGATTCAAGAGCACGTAATTTATTTAGGAGGTGGTTTTGGAAACCCAAGAGGAGTGAGGAAGTGAGCCAGAGAAAGGAAAGAAGCCGTTTACTACTATGGGGATCCAGTGCTCACTCTCAGTGGACACCTGTAGGAAACAGTGTACAACACACTTTAGAATTATCTAGTCAAGAGATTGGGAATCTGGGGTATTTATACACCGGCTCCCTGTTCATCACTGGCTGAGGACTAATTCTGGGGCACTGACTCTTTGGCAGTTCTGACTTGTTCTGTGCACAGGTGCTCCATGCTCTTGTGATCCAAAAAATGTCCTCGGACATAGAGTTATGGGTGTTCACAGTAAATAGGATTCTGTGGGTAGAGGTGAGTGCCAAGGGAACTGGGCGGGGGCACTGGGGTCTGCTACAGCATCCTTCCCAGACTGCTCTTGGGCCTCTTCCAAAGGTGCAGTTTGTCAGACCACTGGTTGCTCAGCTCCTGATTTATGCTAACTTTATATAGGTGTGACTTTCCTTTATGTAATGACAGTAATTTGAGGAGTTATGGAGACTTGGTTGTTCAGCCAGACTCTTGATATTATACTTTGG